ATAATAAAATGAATGAATCAATAAATAAAAGTAATACAGATTTTTTATAACTGATCAAAGTGAGTTGCTGCTCCCCAATGAGTCTGGATGCCCAATACAAGGCCTGATCACAGAGCTCTGCAGCTCAGGGCTCCTGGGCCAACATCCTCAAGGATGAGGTGGTTATGCTCTTGACCTTCCCCAGCCCTGTCTGGGCCGACCCCTGGTGGTGCATCTGTCTGGGCTCCTGTCGCTTATTTCACTGCCGGCCCCGTCTGATGAGGAAGAGAGACTCCAGGAGGAAGTGCCCAGTTCTCCCCTGAGACACTCTGGGACATTGTTCTTCCCCTTCCCCTTGGGCTTGGCGCACCCTGTTTATGTCCACAAACCCTTTCAGGGCAGGCAGAGGCAGGTAACAAGGAGGGCCTGGGCCTGGGTTTGGGGCTGAGGACACAGTTGGTGCAAGCCCCTGGGAGCCCACAGGGGCCCACAGTCCCAATGCTTCAACTAGACTTAATCTCAGGTTCTCCAGAGGCAGAGCCTGAGACCGGCCCTCATTTGGAAGTGATCCCACAAGCCACAGAGACAGGGAATGAGAGAAGCCAATAGAAGGAGTGTCAGACAGGTCCCTGCTGTAGGCAACAGGAGCTCCATTCCTCTGAGACTTCAGATAAGTTTCAACGTGCCTCCCAGAACTGTCCATCCTAGGGAGGGAGTTTGGAACCTTTGACGCCTATGCCTGTCACCCCTGGTTTCCAGATGCTCCCAGGGCTAACTCTCTCCTGCACCCTGCCTGCTCCCTGCCTCCAGAGAGCCAGGGGGAGACCAGCTGAGAAGGGGCCACCCATCCAGCTTTACCCCCACCCCCCAGCCCTGGCTTCCCTCCAGAGCTTTGGAACCATCTGTCCATCACCCTCTAGAACTTTCCCTAGACAGCTCCCAACCCCCACCTAGGTATCCTGCATATTCTGCTCATCCTAAGCAGACCATATGCTGTGATCCCTGAAACTGGCCAAGTCTTGGGTCCCTGGCTTAGGAATAGCTGTTCCACCCTCTCAGGCACTCCAGCCAGAAACCTGGCATCCCCAGCCTCACCCCCAAGACCTACTGCCTCTCCACTCCCTCCTGTTGTCCCTCCCACACACTCAGGTGGGGCTGGCTCATCCAGACCCCATCAGGCTCTCCTCATGGTCTTCTGGCCTCTGGGCTCCCCCTCCCCAGTCCATCCCATAACAGACCTCCTGTTCCTCTTTCCACACACAGCTCTGGCCCTTCAGTGGCTCTCTGCAGCCTCAGGGCAAAGCCGTGTGTAGGTGGCCACCCAGGGCCCTGCCCACCTCTGCAGGCCCATCTGTGGCCTCCCCCAGGCCTGAACGCTGCTTACTGCCCACCCAAGCCTCTGTCTCACCTCCAGGCCCTTGCTCCTGCTTTCTTTCCACTTGGGATGTCCCTGTCCCTGCCTCTCCTCCCTGGTTAGTCCTGTCCATTCTTTGGCCTCCCCTGACCCTCCAGCCCCAGCCAGAGCTTCTTGCGCTTCTCACAGGGAAGGCCCATTTTAACCCATCCACCCTCCACCCCTACCCCACCGCCAAGCAGGCCAAGAGCTCCTCGGGGAGGGGTTTGGGCCTGGCTCATCCTTGTGCCTCAGCACTGCCCAGACCAGGGCTTGACACTGAACAGGCCCTGAGCTTGTTGGGACAGGTATCTCGGGCCTGGAATCCCCTGGTGGGCTGGAGCAGGGCCAGGCCTATCCCAGCCCCTGCCTGAGGCTAGCACATTAGCTCAGGCTTCCAGACCAGGAACTGAGCCAGCAGCCCTGCCCCAAGTCACGCCCGGAGCCTGGCCTCACCTTTTCCCCATACCCAGGCCAGCTCAGGGGGTTGGGTATCCCAGCAAGGAAGGAGCCCCATGCTGGCCCAGGCCTCAGTGCCCTGGGGCCACAGTCCCTGGCTGAGGCCTTTCCCATCCACATGGTTGGATGAGGGAGGCCCAGAATTGCAGGGAGGCTCTTCTCCACAATGTGAATTTGAACCAGGCCTCTTGTCAGTTGTGGTCTGTGCTCAACTTCCACAATAGCTATCTACCAAAGAGTAAGCATATTTAATCATCCAATAGTTAAATTAGCTCCCTGGGTCTTGAGCTATCCCTTCTGTGACCTTCTCATTCCAAGGGGTGCTGACATCTGTATTTCCAGGGCCTTGGGGCAGGGCTATTTGATTCAATGAAACTCAGCAAACACTTGCAGAGTGCTGTCTGTGTCAACAAGAGGAAACATACCTGAGCAATATACAGCAGGTGGAAGGGCCAGCCTGGGCAGCTTTCCATCCCCGCTGTACCTTGAGCTAGGGCGAAAAAGAGGAGTCCATCACCAGCCAAGCCCTTCCACCTGCCAGGTACCAGAAACATAAGGCCCAAGAGGGTGAATAACTTTCCTAAGGTCACAGTGCCAAGGTCTGGAGATCTGGTTGAAGCCTTGAGAACTGAAACATTCACTGTCTGGTGGATGCACACTGGTTGATAAAATATGCACAGCTCCTGCATTCATGAAGTTCGGAGGTCAGTGTGAGAGGTGGTTGATAAACCAGAGAATAAACCTATTGATGCCAAAATGCAGTGTGCTATGTGCTAGGGTTGGGGTATATAGGGGACAGGATAGGGAGGAGGTGGGGAGCACTGAGGACGGGAGGTCAGGAGGGCTTCTTGGAGGAGATGAATTTTAGCTGAAGCTCGAAGGATGAAGAGTGGCTATACAAAGATGGGAGGTGGGGGCATTCAGGCAAAGGCCCTGGGGTGAGAACAGGCTTGAACTGGTCTGGGTGGAGCAGCAGGAGATGAAGCTGGAGCCTGGGCAAGCCTGGGGCCTCCTGGGCTGAGGTGAGGGGCTTGAGATTCACTGGAATGCATGGGAGGCCTCTGTGCATGTTACGCAAGGAGGGATAACATGATGCAGTGGATGTTTTTGGAAGATCTCCCTGGCAGCTGCATGGAGGGAGGTTAAGGGGGCAGGTGGAGACAGAGAGACCAGCAAGCAGGCTGGCAAGTCCTCTTGGAAGGGGCGGAAGGAGCTCAGCCCCGGGAGGGGAGGTGGTGATTAGCGCAGGATGGGGGCATATGTGGAGGGAGTGCCCCCGGTCCTCTCTTGGATCAGGAGTGTGGGTGTGCAGAGAGGATGGAAATTAGGCTTTTGGGTTGAGTGAATGGAGTTGCCATTTACTGAGATGGGGAAGCCAGGGTGGGAACCCACTGAGGGAGAAAGCTAAGAGTTCCGCTTTGGCCAAATTATGTTGGAGAAACCCTTTAGGAATCCATGGAGATGTTGAAAAACTGAGTAACACGTCAGCCAACACTTACTGAACTCACTCTGCATCAGGCACAAGGTGCCTCATATGTGTTAACTCATTTAATTCCTTCATCAGCCCCTCGAGAAAGGTGCTATTGTTACACCCATTTCACTGATGAGCAAACCAAGGTCCGAGCAAGATATTGTGTGTGAGATGAGAAGAAAGCAGGCAGAGACCCAAGAAGCCTTCACATCTAATAGGCTGTAGGAAAAGTCCTCAAAAGGGGTCTCTGGGCTTCCCAGAAAAGGGTTTTCCTGGGTCAGATGTTGCCAGGAGGCCACGGGAGAGAAGTTGGGGACCGAGGTGTCCAGGGCATTGAGCCACAGCACGGTGTAGCTGACCCCAGGCAGTACAGTTTCAGGGGAGTGGGAAGTGGGAGCGGAAGCTGGATCACAGGAGGCCCCAGAGGGAAAGGAAAGGGGGAGGTAGAGAGAGCAAGCAGGCCTCACACTTTCCAGGAGCTAAGCCTGTCTAGTAAGGGTTGGAGAGAGACAGGGGCAGCTAATGGGATGTGGCTATCCTGCGCATCAGAGACTCTAGCGATTTGTCAGAGGGATGGGCCCTAGGGAATAATTCCTTCCCGCTGTGCGCCCAAGTCCCTTGTTAGCGTGAGAGCTCTCTCCTGCCTGCAGCAATTCTTCAGTGGGCTGAGGACAGGGCACGGGGTCAAGGGAGGGAAGGGTGACTCATTCCACCTCTCTTAGTTCGGGGTGTTCCCACTTGAGCAGGGGCTTGGTCAGAGCAGAGAAGGCCATAGGGCACCCTGACAGTGACTGAGGACTGTGGGCCTATAGCAGACAAGGAAGGCTAAGGCCTCAAATACCAGAACAAGGAGTCTCTCCAGCTGCTGGACCAGGCACCCTCCAAGTTTAAACACTAACATCAATACTTTCCCCACCTCAGAAGTCCAGAGTGGGGAAATCACAGCCATCAGCTGAGTCAGCCATTCCCAGAAAGTGTGTTCTGGGAGACTTAGGCCCAGAGTGGGGAAGGGGATTGCTTTCATCAGTGCTACCAGATGCTAATCCCCTGGCATGTCACCTCCACCTGGAAGCCTTCCCTGACTTTCCTCCAGGCTGAGTTAGGGCCCTCCCTCTGTTTTCCCAGTCTCTCAGGCATCATAATGTCACTAGGCTTGCCACCTCAGGCTTCCTGCCCTCCTACGCCAGAGGAGGAAGCTGAACTCAGGGTGATGAAGTCACCATCCATGGGCCCGTGATCAGAGGCTTTGGCCCTGCTCCATGGCTTTGGCCCTGCTCCACGGCTCCCCTCCCATAAACGCTAAAGCCTTGGTTTCCTCATCTGCAAAACCAGGTAAGACCCAGCAGTTTCTGAAAGCTCAGCCACAGTCCAGTTCTCTAAACTCAGAGGCCCAAGGCCCCACAGTGGGGGGAAGAGAGACCATTCAAGAGGCTGTTTATCATCTTGTTGTACCCCACTTGAGCTCTTGGAGCAAAACATTCCCAAGAAACAGGGTGATTCATTCACAGCACCATTTGCCAGTTCCAGAGAAAAGGCAGACCATGCAGCACATTCTGCAACCTTTCAAGAGGAGACAGAGGGATTTCAGATGAGGTTTCTCTGGTGGACAGAGGCCAACGGAGCTGGGGCATATATATATTTCTTCCCAGAAAGCCAAGCTTTGGGGGAGGAAACCATCATGGTTTGAGCCAAATTTTCCCAAAACTTAAGGTGGTGCCCTCCAAGAAAACCAAAGACAACATTGCTTTTTAAACTGGATGGCCTGAACTTGACAACAACCACTCTTCATGTGGACTGATGGGATGTGAGTTAAAATCAAGTAAAACTGGCTGACGTTTTGTTGGTGTTGACACTCATCCATGTCAGAATGCCCGGCTGAGGGGAGGACGCCGCCCTCGCGCTCACTCCTCTAAGAAGCAGGAAGCTTGCTGAATGTTTCAGAGGGTTCAGGCCTCTGGCAGGCCAAGAAGACATGGAGGGAGGTAACAGTGAGTCTGGCGGGGGGTGCTTGGGGGTAGTAGCATGGCTTAAACACAGGGAGAGTGAAGGGTGGACCCCCCAAACTCACAGAAAACCAGGGGAATGACTCTAGCAGTACAAAGACAGACGGAAAGCTCATCCTGTCATTCTGAGTCACAGATCTATACCCTGAGTTTGGGTCTCCTATGAGCGTTGCACTCAACTCTGTCAAAATTGTACTTTTAGCTCCCACCCCCCGACAGGGCAGAAGTTAGACTGAGCTTGATCTCTCTGCCAGTGAAGGTGTGTGATACATAAGAAAGCGCCAGAGATCTAAGTTCTAGTTCAATTCTGATTCCAAAGAGCTCAGTGGTATCGAGCATGCCTCCAGCCCTCTGAGACTCAATTTCTCCATCTGTAAAATCTTAGGGAAGAGAAGGTATTGAGGGAGAATAGGAGACCCTTGGGGCATGGACTTTTGGAGTCATACACTCTGGGTCCTAATCCAACTTTTCTAGCTGTGTGTCCTGAGGCACCTTGCTTAACCTTCCTGAGCCTCAGTTTTCAGAAACAATATCTACCTCATGTGACTGGCTGACAAGTTAAATGACATAATATATACAAAGCACATAGCTTAGAACCTAGCCCACAGGAAAAATTTTAAGGTGTAATTTATAGAGTGAAATAATTCTCATCCTAAGCATTCAATTTTGATGATTGCATATCAAGATACAGAATATTTCAATCACCCTAGTTTTCTTGTATTCCTTCTTAGTCAACCAAGAGCAACCACTGATCTGCTTTCAGTCACCACCACAGGTTAGTTCTGTTTTTTTTAGAATTTCAAACAAATAGAAACAGATACTGTATATTTTATTTGTGTTTGTGGGTATGTTTGGCTTCTCTCACTCGATGTAATAGTTTTAAGATTCATTCATATTCTTCTATTGGTAAATCATTTATGGTGTGTGATATTTAATTGTATAAAATATACTACAGTTTATCCATTTTACTACTGATGAGCAGCTGGGCTATTTCCAGTTTTTGCCTATTATGAATAAAGCTGCTATGAATATTTGAATTAGAATTTAGTACAAGACTTCACGGACAATTATTTTCATTTCTCCCGAGTAAATACCGCGAGTAGAATGCTGGGTCATAGGGTGATGCATGGTGAACATCTTAAAGAAAAAAAAAAGAGGTCCTCAAAAAAATCTCAAATGGTCTTCTAATGTGGTTGTGCCATTTTATTTCTGTGGCCACCAGCCACGAGTGAGAGTCCCACATCCTCTCTCATGCTTAGTATGCCCGGCCATGCTGTTATCAGTGTGGTTTTGATTTGCATATCCCTGATGACTAATGAACTCCTCTCATGTGCTTCCTTAGAATTTTTGTTTAAAGGTAGTTCTTCTCCCTTTTGCTGTCACGTAGCTTTCAACCTCCATGATTTGAATAAATGAGGAAGGGAAAAACTGATGGCAAAATCCACTAGAAATATAAAGAGCTCTGTAAGCACCGAGGCAGGCATGAGCTCGGTGCTGGAACTCCTCTCTTAGGTTTCCCAGGACTGGGGATGAGGACATGCTCATCTTCTGAGGAGGCCAAGATCATGGATAATTTGAGGTCAGAATGTTTTAATGATAAATTTGCCCCTGCTACCACTTATAAACTACCTATTATGCCCCAGGCACCTTATAGTCAGTCATACAGTACATCTGATTTTTACAATAGCCCTGCAAGGTTGTCCTATGATCTCCATTTAGAGGACTCTGAAAATCAGAGATGTGAATTCCTTTGCCTCAGACCACACAGCTACAGCTACATCTCCATGGGATCCAGATTTTAAAATGTGACTGTATAGACATACACACACACACACACACACACACACACACACACACGGAATATTATTCAGCCATAAAAAGGAATGAAATACAGATACATGCTAAAAGATGGATGAGCCTCAGGAACATGCTAAATGAAAGAAGCCAGACATAAAAAGTTACATATTGTGTGATCCCATTTACACAAAATACCCAGAATAGTAAATCTGTAACTAGAAACACATGGCAGATTGGTAGTTGCCAGAGGTCTGGGGAGAGGGGAATGGGGAGAAATTGCCTAATGGGGGTATGGGACTTTCTTTTGGGGTAACAAAAGTGGTTTGGAACTAGATGGAGGTGGTGGTTGTACATTGTAATTATAATAAATGCCACTAAACTGTACACTTTAAAAAGGTTAATTTTAAATTCAACATCCATTCATGATAAAAACTCTCAACAAAATGGGCATAGAGGGCAAGTACCTCAACATAATAAAGGCCATATATGATAAAACCACAGCTAACATCATACTGAACAGCAAGAAGCTGAAAGCTTTTCCTCTGAGATCAGGTACAAGACAGGGATGCCCACTCTCCCCACCGTTACTCAACATAGTACTGGAGGTCCTAGCCACGGCAATCAGACAAAACAAAGAAATACAAGGAATCCAGATTGGTAAAGAAGAAGTTAAACTGTCACTATTTGCAGATGATATGATACTGTACATAAAAAACCCTAAAGACTCCACTCCAAAACTACTAGAACTGATATCGGAATACAGCAAAGTTGCAGGATACAAAATTAACACACAGAAATCTGTAGCTTTCCTATACACTAACAATGAATCAATAGAAAGAGAAATCAGGAAAACAATTCCATTCACCATTGCATCAAAAAGAATAAAATACCTAGGAATAAACCTAACCAA